CTGTGAACCGTCAGAGAAGACGCTGCTGAAACCAATTGTAAGTTGCCTATATATCATATAACAAGGATTTTCACTAGATAAGTTGATCACTATTCTTTTGGTCATATAACGACTTATTTCCGGAAGCTGCGGTCCAGGCCGGATCCAGATCGGACACGCGTGCGAGGACGTAGACGAGTGTGCATGGCAACCCTGCCTCCACGGGGGTACCTGCTACAACCTGCAATCTGGCCACAAATGCGTGTGTGGCCCCAGCCACATGGGGGACCACTGCCAATGGCCACACTCAGCCCCAAACACTTGGCCCCTTGACAGCCCGGGCACCATCACAGCTTTCTCCGTCACTATTTTGCTAATGGGTCAGTCTCAATTTCTAAGAATGTTAAGGATTCCCTTGAATTTCCTCGTGCAATTGCCGTATCTCATCTTCTTTCCTCCACTTTTGTCTGTTTCGGCACAAGCATAATTTCTACTAACCATTCATCATTTATGCTTCCAGTTCTGCTGCTCACAGTGCTCTCCCGACACCTGGCGCGGCACTTCTGCCGAGGAGGCCCCAGGGGGGAAAAGGGCGTGGAGGGGCTGGCCACGGGGCGAGAGGTCAAGGGAGGGGTCACGGAGGGCGGGGGGGGACGCACAGCAGCGACACGCGCCAGAAAGGACGGGCCTCGGGGATCCTTTTTGAAGGACTTAGATTGTAGGAGCACCGGTGCAGACCACGCTGTCTGCCAGAGCGAAGGTGAGGGAGGCCCCGGCCACGTCTTGTCAAGCGATGGCACAGTAAAATTAATCACGATTTCAAAGTAATGATATTTGAAGTAACACAGAATTTTGTTTTAATTGTTTTGTAAATCTCTAAATAAAAAAATAAATATAAGATTTAACCTCTTTGTGATAATGCATTTGAGGAGATGCATGTCCGTGCATCAAGCCATAGGTCTACAATGAATCGGTCAAACCCTCAAATTTTACTTTGAATGAAATAGTACGTATTATTTATATGCACAAATTTATGTTAGAAATCTTCTGCAAGGTAATACTGCTTTCTAGAAATTCTCTGCAAAGTAATACTATTTTCTATAAAATATACATCATTTCTCAAACTTACAGACTTCGAGGCTGACCCTTCGTTTGTGGCAATACCTCTCTGTGGCAGGTCCTGCATGGATCATGTTGGACAGGAAGGGAGCCAAGGGGTCGTCCCTGGCATTCCAGAGCCCGTTTTACCTCCCGATGACCTTAGAGCTTATGCTTATGAGGGGGAAAGCTCTCCCCCAGGTTCCCTTTCCTCTACCGTCTCAGGTAAGGATGAAGACATTGCAGAAATCTCAAGTTAAAGCAAAATTGTAATCAAGTAATCAATGTAATCAATGTTGCACTCCCCTCTAAATAGGACTTTTTTTTTTCTTTAGGACTGCAAGAAGAAATTAATAACATCAAACCCCAAATGCCACAACTCCTGGAAGTCATGGAGCTTCTGAAAAATCTTCCGGACGGGTCAAGATCTTCCTTTACAGTAGGCAGTCCTCGCGCAGGAGAGCAACGAAAAGAAGCCCCTATAACCCCCCCTGAATTATGTGAACATGAAATAAACAGTCAATTAAAAAACAACATACAGATACCAAGAACTGCACAGGCTCGGTCACAGCCTTACCTTTTCAGACTTTTGATTCAGTCTTCTACTTTTATTTCACATAAATGGAAAAGTGTAACAGGCAGCAATTCGTGCCATGAGGAAAGGGATCAGACTGACACGCAAAGAAAATCTCAGCTGACTACTATTTCATAGAATCTTCCTCGGCCCAGATGCTATTCAGACGATTATTGCACAATCATTTCACAAAATCCTCCTTTCCTTTATTTTGAAACAGTTTGTTCTAAGATTAATGGGCACAAACTGGGTAATGGGCCGGAGATACAAGATTTTACTTTGTTATCCACACTGAAATCTCATTGAATGAATAGCAAATTAGTTATTTCCAGGGTTCAACTGAACCCTGAAAAGCAAAATAAAATAAAAATAAAATAAAATACCATAATGTAACAGGAAGGCATTATATGTACTTCACCTAGGCTGTAATATATTTCTTTTTTCTTTTTTTAATTAATGATATGATTTCAAATCTCCTCACCTATAGTTAAACATCTGTTTGTCAGAATGCAATGGGCCATCACCAAGAATTAAAAAAGCCAAGTATCTCATTGCCCATTTGGGAAATCAGTCTGAAAGGTCATTGTGTTTTCAGTGCCATATTTTTCTAGTAATCTTTATGTTTAGTACAGAATGTGTCAGAGTAAGGTTTTATAAAATATATTACTCTTACTTTGAATGTGTTTTTTGTATCCTCTAAACCTGCATAAACATTCTGGCCACTGCCTTGCGTAGCAATCAAAGTTTACAAAAATATAAAAATAAATGACATAACATTTACCACTGATGAACAGAAATATTTGAAAGTTAATAAAACAGGAAAAAACAAATTCTGAACTCTTATCAAACAATTTATTAAAAGCAAAAGCTTTCTTACAGTTTCACATGTGTAACAAAGATATACTTCATTATCTATTTTCTTTTCCTTTTTTCCCTATATTCTTCATAAATTATGCAGCCCTTAGATATCATTTACTTTTTCCTTTAATACTTTTCTTATCTCTCTTTATGCCTTTAAACATGTCTCTGGTATTCTCTCTGTTGGGGCGCTTTCGTTGCTTCTGCTTGCCTACCATTATTTCTTCGTACTTCCGTTTCTGGAACCTGTAAAAAGAAAGATGGCAAGTTAGATCACTTCCTCTGAGACTATTTTCCCTCTTAGTAATACTAACTACTATTCATATATCTTCTTCTACTACTACTACTACTACTACTACTACTACTACTACTACTACTACTACTACTACTACTACTACTACTACTACTACTACTACTACTACTACTGTTAACTTTTAAGAGACTAAAAGCTGGAAGAGACATAAGTCACCCATAAATGGAGGATGTCATCTGGGTTTTGCTCAGTAAATCATACAACACTCATTCTTTTCTGCCTTGTAAGATCATATTCTTCCTTTTTTCTATTACTATTACAAGCAAAAGAGCTTTCAAGTAAAACTAAATGTGAAACCCAACAGACACCAAACACCATACTAGCAGCTACATTTACAAAAAATTCTTTTCTCTGATATGCACATGAATCTCTTTTAAACATGTTACATTCATAACAGAAAGCTGGTATAAATAGCCCATCTGAAACACAGTGGGACACATGAGAACCATATGCTGTGTTCTGTACTGCTTGTCAAATTCTGACGGATGACTAGGTAACTCCAATAGCCAAGCTGTTTGCGTTTCAGTTTCTTAGCCCAACAACTCTCAGTGAAGAGAGAAGCAAACTGAATGCCACAGTCCATTTTGTTGTATTCATTAGTGAATGTGAAATTATTATATGAAAACAGCTATGTACATCCTCAGATTAAATTGTTATATGCAATTTTGGCAGACTCTTTCAAGGTTTGATTTTACAAGCCATAAATTTACAACACCCGTCATCTTCTTTGTTTACAAACGAACCTGGCTTCTTCGTATTAAGATTTTTTCTTTCCTTTTTTTCTTTCATTTACTGCAATCAAGGAAAGGTTGGAGCTATCTAATATAATCTGAAATGGTTAAAATGCATACCTCAGACTTTCTTCATTGCTCATGATCTCTTCTGCCAGTGTCCTCTTGCGGCTTTTCTTTGGAATGCGAGAAGCATAGAAATCTACAGGAGAATCCACAACGGTGCCAATGTGGAAATGCTTGGGCAAAACCTGGAATAGGATGAAACACAAAAAATAATATTCACAGAGCATAGCAAGGATTACACTGTGCCTAACGAGTTAATGATGGAACACAACTTCAAACAACAAGCAGAAGCATTAAATCACCTTCATATCATTATTCTTGTAATGCCTCTTTGGATCCATGACAGAACGCATCTTAAGGAGCTCCAGATCCCGCTGTACTTCTTCTGTCATCTCAGGAGCCTTCATGTCAAACCACCCAGCTCCCTTGGTCTTCTCTCGCTCAGCCTGAAAAATCAGTGATTATATTAATATCAATGGCTAGTGTCCTCTACAGCAGAACAATCTTCCAAATGAATACAAGTAGGAAATCAAGAATGGTGATAACTTAAAAATATAAGGAATGGTGTCTCAAGAATATCTGGTCTAAAATTTTTTTTTTAAAATAACCAGACTCTATTACCCTTCTAATAATGGAGGAGATTAAAAGATTAGGTCCCTTAATCTCAGAGGTATCCAGAAAGATGAAGGTCAACTTTCTTCAGAAGACCACAAATCTCGCAGTTACAGCCCACAAGAAAAACATTAATGGCAAACCATTACATGTCTTACCTTCCTCTGCTTCTTCCTTGCATACTTGGAAAGGTGGTAAGGAGCCACCTTTTTCTGCTTCATGAACTCTGGCTGCAGAGTCTGTGAGTTCTCCAGCACCTTCTGCAGTTGATCTTCATCCTTCCCCTGTAATTCTCCCACCTGCAGCTCGTCACTCAAGAAAATCCTAAAGAAGACGGACAGTGATTGGGTTTAATAAGTGAGCCTCAAGAAATGTGAATAATTAAAAAAAAGATGAGAACCAATTCATCCAGTTTCAGATAGAGATGACCTCCTCCAAGTACTCTTCCCATTTCAAATACAAATAGTGGAGAGGTGGGGAGGTTGGAGGTAAGGAGATGGGGGAAGGGGAGAGGGAGGTGGAAGGGAGAAGGAGAGGGGAGGAGATTGAGAGAGACTGAGAGGGGAAGGGGGGAGTGAGAGGAAGAGGGGGGAGGGAGGGAGGGAGGGAGGGAGGGAGAGAGGGAGAGAGGGAGAGAGGGAGAGAGGGAGGGAGAGAGAGAGAGAGAGAGAGAGAGAGAGAGAGAGAGAGAGAGAGAGAGAGAGAGAGAGAGAGAGAGAGAGAGAGAGAGAGAGAGAGAGAGAGAGAGAGATCACTTAAAAACAATACTGATCTTACTTTTTCCGATTCTTTAAAGTCTTCTCCCGAGACTCCTTCTTCTTCTTCCCCTCCCTTGCACGCACAGCCTTCACCTGTCGAACCGAGAGCACTACCCTGTGGCCAGTGAGCGTCTGCAGAACTTGCTCCCACTCACTCCCATCTTCCGGTGCTCGCTCCTCATTGCCTGTTTAAAATACCAAACAGAAAACTGTCAACACTTCTAACAGCTACATACATATAGCCATATGCCGTAATCATACCTTCTGACAAGATAATTTGAGGCACATTAGATACAGCAAAGAATGATGAAAAGAAGAAGAAAAAAAAAGAAGAGAAGGATAAATAGAATTCAATGAACAGAGAAATAAGATAGATAAAATAAGATAAAATAATCAAGAGTATAACCACAAAAAGAATACTTATGGTGATACTTAAAACTTGTGAGCTACAATCACTGAAATTTCAAAACCCTGACAGACTTCGTCCGACTTCTTAAAATGAACAAAATGTTTGAGCTGATCATTCAAATAGCTCCGAAAGGCAACAATACATTAACCCAATGGTGACAGGTGAAGAGTTCGGTACATCAGGCCACATCACTGGCTCGCCACGCTTTGGCTCGCTGCCGCAGCGTACAGCCACATGCCACTTTTCGAGCGGTTTGTTTTCACGCCTAGCGGCGTCACCCCTCGTGAAGGGGTTAAGTAAGTGCAACCTGTCCTAACTTAAAACTTTTTGGCTTGGTTTTTGGTTCATTTTAAGGTGTTCTCATTTTGAAGTCTAACATCATTTACTTGAAATCTAAGGAAAACACAGACAGTAACAAGCAGGGAGATGCAAAGAGGGCAACTGAGGGGAGTCTGAGGGCGCACTCTTCTCTTTCAGCTGCCTATTCCTGCATCCATGCAACTCTCAGGGGCTGTATCTCAAGACTGATTTTGCAAAACCAGAAAATATACCAAGAAGATTTTAGAAAATCTTAAATAAATAATCACTCAGAATTCCTTGTATCTTATAAAATATATCGGAAATGAATGGGTAGTGGGTTGGATTTTGCAACATTACTTGACACATACAATTACAAAAATCTGACAGCGATAATCAATTAATATAAATCAGAATTATTTTCAGCTTAAATCTCCTTTGAGTCAGGCAAATATCATGGCTGTAGCAGATATAATAACAATAAATAACATTTTAACACAGAATATTCATGTAAGTCACAAGTGTCACCTTTGCCTCAAGTTCAATAATGAGTAAAGCAAAGGTTCTCCTATTTTCTAATTTTATCAGTCTGCATGATGCTAGACTGGTCCTATATTGGAATACCAGTTTGGAGGGGTTACTGGTCTAGGGAAACTCCAATTTATCATTATGAATTCACATCCTTTCTTTTGGAATACTGGGCCAGCAACAAACTCTGGATTAATTGAGAACGCTGCTGTCCTATTTTTTGGTCCAAACAAGTAAGAAACACTAGTCCTACAAAATGAAGTACCTTGTTCAATTTGCCTCCTCATGCTGCAGACGAGGGAGAAGAAACCCTCTTTCTTCTGATTGGTGGTGTAAGTCAGCACGAGGTCCTCGTCGAAGAGTTTCACCAGAGCCTGTCGTCCTGGCCCTGCATCTTCATCCTCCCCAAATTCTTTGATTTTACCTTCTTCAATTAGTGTATTTTTTCCCGCGCTCTCGCCTTTCTCCTATAAACAAAAGTTCCAATAAGCTTTCTCCTGATCTAATGGGATAGGAATAAATGCAATTGAAAGAACTTGTTGTACTCAATTTCCAAATAGGAACCAACTGGTAAATCCTGGTAGGGGTCAGGATGGCTAAGAAGCTCATTCACTTTTGTCCTTTTAAATACCTCAAAACAATTAATTTTGTTATCACAGGAATTTAAGTAATTTTGAGAAAACAGATACCCAAGTGGCATTAGGTGAACATGGAAATCAACATGATACACAAATGTAAAACTTAGAAATCTGAGAATCTGAGAATCTGAGGGAAAAAAGTAAACTTTCCATAAATTATTTACAAGGACTAACTTACAGTATCTTTTCTAAACATCTGCTTTGCTGGTTTGGTTTTGTTAGAATAAGAAATGGATTGAAAATAATAATAATAATAATAATAATAATAATAATAATAATAATAATAATAATAATAATAATAAATGCAAAGAACATGGAACCCAATATGCATGTATGTACAGTTTCTCAAACGGTGTAGCAACAGCAGACTAATCAGATCTATCAGCCACAACAGTCTCTAGCCTGGTAGGTCAGTACTTCCCAAACAATATGGACATCAGAGCTGATGTCATTCTTACAGATTTAAGAGACACTTCTGAAACTCTATCTTGCTGAGTTCTGCATCTGCTCCAGCAATATCTATCTCCTCTACTCTTATTGGGTGTTTTTCCATGTAGCTATAATCTGCTTTTCACCAATAAAACACAAGATCACTCTTGTGTGTCTATTACTACACTAGTTTTCATCAAATATATTCGAAGCCATAAGGTGATCTGTGACTTCAAGTGAAGTGAGAACAACTGCTTCACAGAATGTAACACTTTCTCTTTACTTATTCATAGTGTTACCATCTCGTTTGACACTCTATACCCAAACGAGGATCTTGAGTCTTCCTTATTTAGCAACCTTTCCATGTATTCCATCACACTATCTAACCTTTTAACCAAAACTTAAAGTGATTCTTCCTCTTGCTTTATCAACTTAAAAGTCTTCTGTAGCCCTGCTCTTGTTTTTGCAATCCAAAAGATGCACAACAGAGAATATCTGTAAGATGTACAGTAAGTCCCCAACTTAAGAACATAATGGGGACCAAGAGGTTGTTTGTAAGTTGATTTGTTTGTATGTCGAAAGTCGGGTCTCCATTACCTTTTACCCATTGTTTTAAAGTTTTGTTTACATTAAGAATACCTGTAAATAAATCCCAATAAGTACGACATACCTTATACAGTACCAGACTCTTGAACTATATTCGTGCCCAGGAAATTTGAAGTTTGCTAGCATCTTTCAAACAATTTCTTGGCCTTTAGTATTGAAAAAAATTGTTTGTATGTATGGAATGTTCATAAGTAGAATGTTCCTAAGTAGGGGACTATCTGTACTTCTTTTTATTGATACTATCAAACTATACAAACAAAATCCTAACAACTTAGCAAATCCCTCCCCCTCTAGCTTAGTTATAAATATATACAAGCAATTTAAAAATTAATGAAAAGAAACACTATTTGGGAGAGTCACCCTTAACTGGGATACTAGAAAATGAATCTTAAAAAATGTGCAATTCTGTATTTTTTTCTTATCATTTAGTCATAATCAACTCTATAACTATTTACTAGATACTTTCCCCCTGCCCCACTGGGAAGGTCTTTTTAAAATACCTTCCCTGTCAATCCACAACAAGTACCAACATTTGCAGAAACCACTAAGACTCATGGACAGTTGTAATTACCTCTCCCTGAAGCTCTCGTACAACCATAAGCAACTCCCTGAAGATCTGGGCTTCATGGACTTCCAATTCGTCTTCTGCCTTGGTGACCAGACCACCAACGAGTACTGGATCTCCGTGGCGCTTCTCAAACTGGATGTAGGCCAACCATAAACCTGATGGCAGTTACAAAAATGAGTTAATTTTTTTCAGAGATGGGAGTGAAATATAATAAACTCGAGTATGCACTCACACGCAAACTGGCATTGTACACAGGACAGGTCACTTATGCTAATGAAATGAAGAGTCTGATTTTTAAAAAATATGCTAATCTTGCATAAAAACAAGAGATTTAATAATTTTCTACACATTTAATGGGCTCTATTTTATTGACTTGGCAACTGATGCAGCTTCTTTCTAACTTTAGCACCCAATAGAAAACATTGAAAATAAATAAATAAATAAATAAATAAATAAATAAACAACTCTAAAAATGAAAAGACACTTTCTTCAAGACGTAGAGAGGAAAATCAATAATAACAATAAGTATAATGGATATTAACATTTAACTACATAATCTACGTCAACAAAGATACTAATTTGAAAATCCTTTCAGCTACCTTACCTGGATGTTTTTTCCCAAACTGTTGTACAGCTGTAGTGAAAATCCCCCTGACCCTCTTGACGTCCACTGTCTCTTCTGACAACTCCAGCTCTACCATAGTGGCATGAAGCTTGTCGCAGAGTGGAGGCGCCCAGTTCAGTTTCTGGTACAGTTCCCTTGCCTCTGGTAGTCCTAAAATAAAAAAAAATCACAATTATTTACCATTAATTACAAAATTTCTTTTCAGATTCTTTGAACATATAAAACAGAGGAATTTGGAGAAAATATAAACAGGAATCAAGTCTGTTGTGCCTTTGTGTAGCCATCATAAAAGTATTGAACACAATAACTGCAAGGTTTGGCTGAATATCTGAAGTTTCTTTGTCAACACATAAGAACATTCCAGCATTTAGGCTTATGGAAGATTAGAAAGCCTAAATTTACAACAGGTATCTTTTACATATATCAGGAGAATACAGTAACTTTCTCAATCGTTTATCATTTACAAGATAAAGCCTAAAATTCTAGATCATCAGCTCAATTAGGATATCTATGCACAAGAAGAATTAATATCTCCTAATAAGAAAAAAAGAAAGAAAAACAAATGTATTATGTTGGAAAGTGTGGAATAAAAAACATTCCATAATTACAAGATTTTCAAATGGCAGGTGATATAATACTACATCCTCACAGAGAGGAGCAGTTGGCACAAAATCTGCCCAGCTGAGAGGGTTGCCTCACTATACTCTGCACTGCCACTTTGGGGTTAATGGCCAGATCTCACTATGTAGACAATTATAACTTACATTCCCCAAGAGTACTCTGGCTGACTTACCTTTTTCTGATGCAACGTGCTGCAGGTGCTTGACTCTCATGCCCTGTGCAACAGTGGTATTGCTATGGTCTGAGGCACGGGTGAATATTGTGGATTTCTTCTCCTTGTCTGTAATATA